GGAAGGGAAGGGAGGGAGAAAAGGAAGGAAGGAAGGGAAGGGAAGGGAGAAAAGGAAGGAAAGGAAGGAAGGGAGAAAAGGAAGGGAGAAAAGGAAGGGAGAAAAGGAAGGGAGAAAAGGAAGGGAGAAAAGGAAGGAAGGAGGGAAGGAAGGAAGTCTCAGTTCAGACTCAGTCCATTGCTTGTTGTCACCTTAATAAAAAGATTTGGTTAGTTGATTGATGTGGTAGACCTGGACTCCAGATCTCAAAACAGCCCACCTGGTACATTTCACTTTCCAGTCTGTCCTCACAACAAACCTGCTCAAATGCATACAGTGAATTTTCTGACACAGTGTAGATTTCAGCCTGGGTCTCCCTGGGTCAGTGTTTCTCAACCGTGGCCTCTTGAAGAAGTGTGGACTTCAACTCCCAGAATCCCCCAGCCAGCCATGCTGGCTGGGGAATTCTGGGCGTTGAAGTCCACACCTCTTAAAGTCACCAAGCTTGAAAAACACTGGCCTAGGCCATGTCATTAGGTCGCTAGGTGGGGTGGGAAAGTTATTTAGATTTGGGGAAACACACAGAAAAGGCGTAAACTCTCTTTCCTTCAACATTACTACTCTGATTCAAATCCAAGTTTGACTCTGTGCCCCATCAAATTAAGAGCCATTTGCTTGTAAACTAAATGCAACTTCAGGATTTTATGGCCATTGTCGGATCTCTGGGTTTTATGTCTTTGCACGCCTGAGTAGTTTCTTCCTTCCCCTCTCCCACTGTGTGGCTGTTACAGTTTCCTTTCTTTTGGCATTTGTCGTTCAGCGCACCCACAGTCCTGTCACTGTTCCCTAATAAAGGAAGATAAAGGGTGGCAGTTTTCCTTCCGCTAAGCAGTTCTAACCACAAACAGCACCCCAGAGATCCCGAAGGGTTGAACCATGAACTTTTATGCGTAACCAGCCTAACACGGGAGACGTGAAAGAGGAATGGCGGAGAGGCTGATCTGGAAGTGACTGGAAATCATCTTGTCAGGTGTCAGTCTCTGCGAAATTGGAAATTGGTCCTGAGAATAATGGCAGCCTCCGATTCTTTCATGAGCCCAGAAAGACAGAATGATGAGAATAATTGGTTCCCAGCACAATTACACCTCTCTTCCCCCAGGAATAGCTGTTCTACTTTTAGACATCATCTTTGCTACGGTACTGTCAAACAAATGTAAACTTCCCAAGGGTTGGCACATTATGCAACTGTGCGCCCACGGAAACTGGGCATTGACAGCCTGTGACCGTGAGATAACACCTGTACTTGCCCTTCTATCACCCGCTTCCCTCCCTCCCCATCTCCTGTTTGCAAGGGAACTTCCAGAGGGCCTTGAGAAGCTGAGCAGATGCAGTATTAAAAATATGGTTAAAGATATGGGCAAGGTAAGCTTCCAGCTAGTTGGACTTTAAAGAAGCAGGATAGGAAGAGTATTCACGCCTGTGATCTTTCGTCTTGGGGAAGATTCCTGAGTATACCATGGCCAGCCAAGAAAACAAACTGATGGATCTGAACAAGAGAGTTCTCACTCAATGCACAAATGACCAGGTGCATATTATCCAACTTTGGATGCACTATGGGAAGATCCAGCTCTTTGGAAAAGGCTAAAATGCTGGGAAAGGTGGAAGTAAAGAGAAGAAGAGGATGGGTGGACTCAGTTGGAAGAGCTGAAGGACCAGGCTAGGGACAGATCGTCATGGAGAAAATCTATTTATTGGTCACTAAGAGTTCACACAAACTTGATGGCACATAAGCAAGCAAGCAAGCTTCCAACTGCTTGACCTCTAAGTCAAAAACAGGTTTAAAGGTTCAAGGGAAATTTCCAGGTCATGATCTGACAGGGCAGCTGGAGAAGTAGGTGCCGTCTCCTAAGTCAGAGAGATGTGAAAGTCTGAGATCCACATGGACATTCAGCCAAGGGATTGAAGCCTGGGGAGTGGAAGACTACTGCAAGAAGTGAAATAAGACTGTGGAAGCCCCTTTCAGATCCTATCTCAGATTTGAACTTCCCAAGACCAAAGAAATCCATATTCTTTTTGCCTCAACTCAGTCTAGCATTCTTCCCTTCACAGGTAACTTCCAGGTTCCATTATTTAAACCTGTGTTTTTCAACCTTGACAATTTTAAGAGGTGTGGACTTCAACACCCAGAATTCCCCAGCCAGTGCTGGCTGGGGAATTCTGAGAATTGAAGTCCACACCTCTTAAAGTTGCCAAGGTTGAAAAACACTGATTTAGACCATGACACTAGGTAGAAAGGTTATTTAGATTTGGGAAAACACACAGAAAAGGAGTAAACTCTATTTCCCTCAACATTACTACTCTGATTCAAATCCAACCTTCCCCCCCATTGCTTTTAGAACCATCATGAATCCCATGCACGATAGAAAGCTTGACTCTTTGCCCCACCAAATTAAGAGCCATTTGCTTGTGAACTAAATGCAACTTCAGGATTTTATGGCCTTCACAGGTACCCTCCAATTTTGTTGGCCTACAATGTCCTCATCTCCAGACCTTTGCTGAACTAGTTAAGGATGATGGAAGCTTTGGTCCAACATACCTTGAGGGGCTCGTCTGGGGAATGCAGCTCTGTGTGAATGATAACGTTGGCCCCTTTTTCACCAAGCTGCTGTCAGGATTATGGAAATAATGTATGGGAACAATCAGAATGTTTAGAAAAATGTGCTACAGAAAAAGCGATAGATCTACACCACATGTGGCAGCCGCTTTCCCACCCCCTCTGAGCTGAGCGTCATCATTTGGGCTTGCCAGGTGCTCGACAAGTCCTTTGCATTGCAATCCCAGGCAGGCAGCCAAAACAGGAGATTTATCACCTCCCCTATGCACACTCCCCCCACTCCCCAAGGGATAGGGTACCACACATGACTGATGCATCATGTTCTGCTTGGTGGATCACAAATTACTCTGCATTAAACAATCATGACTATGTGCCACAAGTTTGTTTAATAAGACTGCAATTTAGAAGGGGGAAACATGGAATGCTGCTTAGCTAATGAGACACACAGCCTGACCACACAGAAAGATCCCTCACCCTGGGCTGTTTCTCTGTCTGCTACACCAGACAATTTTCCCATCTATTATATACTAGATTATTTGACCACTTCCTATGCCAGCACTTTACTAACTGCATGGATTTCCAGCTGGTCTCTGGGCCCAATTCAGGACAATGAGATTAAGTTTTAAAACCCTGGAGGGCTTGAGGCCAGATGATGACCTAAAGGATTGCTTCCCCATAATCCAAGCTCACCGCAGACGGAGACCGCAGCCATGAAATTAAAAGACGCTTGCTCCTTGGGAGGAAAGCTATGGCAAACCTAGACAGCATATTAAAAAG